GGTGTTTTGGATTTCCAAGACACAAAAAGAGAATTGGACATGCTGTCCTTGTCCCAGAAACAACAGATCGTGGAGGTGATGCTTCTAGAGCTGAAAATCCAATCCAAACACCTTCCATTGTACTTCCCTTTGTTGCACCTCCGTCCTCTCCTGCATCATTTCTTCAATCAGAACCTCCTTCTGCCACACAATCACCAGCTGGTTTTTTCTCTCTCACTGCCAGCATGTACTCCCCTAGTGGCCCTACCTCAATTTTCGCTATTGGTCCTTATGCTCATGAAACCCAGTTGGTCTCACCGCCCGTTTTCTCAACCTTCACTACTGAGCCATCAACTGCTCCCTTTACTCCTCCTCCTGAGTCTGTTCATTTGACTACACCTTCATCACCTGAGGTTCCATTTGCCCAGCTGCTTGATCCTCACTTCCGGAACGGTGAAGGTGGTCAGAGATTCCCATTGTCTCACTATGAATTTCAATCTTACCAACTTTACCCTGGAAGCCCAGTGGGTCAGCTTATATCACCAAGTTCGGGCATCTCAGGTTCTGGTACTTCTTCTCCTTTCCCTGACCTTGAGTTTGCTGCTCGTGGTCATCATTTTCTGGAGTTCCGAACAGGTGATCCTCCCAAGCTCTTGAACCTCGACATTCTCTCCACCCGTGATTGGGGTTCAAGACTAGGATCTGGTTCTGTAACCCCCGATGGTGCAAAGTCCACATCTTCTGATGGTTTTCTTCTAAAGCCTCAAACCCCTGAGGTTGTATTAAATCCACGATCAAACAATAGAGGTCGAAATAATGATATTTCCATCAACCACAGAGTTTCGTTTGAGTTAAGTTATGAAGAAGTTATCAGATGCGTGGAAATGAAGCCAGTGGCATTAGCTGAAGCTGTATCAACATCTCTAGAAGATGCAGAGAAGGCCCAAAGCAAAGAAGATCCAAGTAAAGTAGTAAGCAGTTCTATTTGCCCTGTTGGTGAGACATCCAATTATGCAGCAGAAAAAGCCGTGGCGGATGGGGAGGAGGTACCACTGCATCAGAAGCAGCGATCCATCACGCTTGGTTCTGTCAAGGAATTTAATTTTGCCAATCCAGATGGAGGAGATTCTGGTAACTCTATTGGCTCTGACTGGTGGGCAAATGAGAAGGCTGATGCCAAGGAGAATGGCCCGACAAAGAATTGGTCGTTCTTCCCTATGATGCAGCCGGGTGTTAGTTAGCTAGTATGCATCTCACTTGATGCCTCCCTATCCCGTGGAGCATTTGAATTCGAATTTTGAGGTACAACATGGGTTTTAATTTTCCAAACTGGACTGACATCAAGGACCAAACTAATGCTACACTGGCCTCAAATTACAGACAAAATTTTGGGTTTTAGATTGGAAAGTCTTTTACAGGATGACTGAGCCGGGTCTAAGGCTGTTTTTGTACATGGTGACCTGGAATTCAAGCTCAGAAGCTGTGCAGAGACAAAGTATGGATATGGATAGTATAAAATCACAGAGATTAGTGTCAACTTTTGGACGGTTAATGGGTTTGATGTATTATATTAAATTACAATAGAAGTAGATAAGAAGGATTACATTAATAAATAATAGTGGACTGCTAATTGATAATGTTGTTGCGTTTATCTTTGACCCCTCTTTGCTTCATGACTTTTCTTATGGAATATACAGGGTATGTTGTTGTTTACCGGTTCAACTGCTAATCTTCTTCATGACACTCATGTATATTTGCACGCTGAAACTCATTTTATATTGTATTATAAAATTCAGCAAACCATGACATTTTGTAGTCACTTTATGCCTGTAATTCGAGGTCACTAAGTGGTTTTATAAGTGATTCGCTTCTCCCATAATCGCTTCAAATCACTTGAAGTGATTATATTCCAGTCCTCCTAAAATCACTCGCATACGAGCTCAAAATCACTTGAAGTGATTATATTCCAGTCCTCCTAAAATCACTCGCATACGAGCTCTAAACCACGAATTTGCATAAACCTTGATAATTTAGAGACTCTATGACTTGCATAGAGGAGTTTAGAAGTTAGTTGATTCGATTTCAATTCTTTAAAAAAGAACCGTTGAATTGATATAATACCCGTTCTAGAAGGCATATTCGATAAGCAGATGCTTTTCCCCTCTCCAGGGGAAAAAGCTGGTACTTTACAACTCATAACAGATGGGAAGAGTCCCATTACTTTCATGTTAGGAGAATAAGAAAGCTCGTTAGAGCAAATTGGTCAATACTCAAAATTCTTGCTAGTTTGAGTTTCAATTCAACTTTGAACCAACAACACTTGCCATTATTTTTTGTTTTTTTAATTTATTTCCAACCAAATCAAACCAAACCAGGTTTTTCACTGCATGGTCCAAGTTGGACGGCTCCAACAGCTATTTTCTTTTATTCCAAACAACAAGTCAAATTACCAAATTGCCCAAGTAAACAACGTGTGCCGCCAAGATCCTCTTGCCCCTCTTCATTGACCTCTACACTTGCAAATCTTCGATGCCTCCAATAGGAAACTTCCTTCACATGTGAACACAGCCGAAACATATGGTGAAATTAGAAATTTAAAATTTAGACTTTCGGAATTTTTTATTTTACCACCTCCTTTAGTTGACCACAAATCAGAAAACGTCTGCGGTATGACCTTCTAGAAGTAGTCAGCTTCATAGCGACCTTTTCTCTTTGGCCCAAAACTCCAAACCCTTTATATACAACACCCATTCCTCTACCACCACTGAAACCTCCACCGCCACCGCTCTTTTCCCATTTTCCGATCCTAACCTTTTCTCCTCTAACCAATTTTCATTTCTGGGTGTTTGAGGAACATAGGCAATTCGGAAAATATGCTCAAATTCATGCCACCTTCAGCAGAATCGGCGCTTCCCAGAAATGGGTTTAAGAAAATCAAGTCAGAGTCCAACATAGCGACCATAGACGTGGGAGGCCAGCTCTTCCAGACCACCAAGCAAACCCTAAACCTAGCCGGCCCGGACTCGCTCTTCTCCCGAATTTCCGAGTCAGCCTCAGCTCGACTCGCTCCGCCGTTCATTGATCGAGACCCGGAGCTCTTCTCGATTCTCCTGTCGCTTCTCAGAACAGGTAATTTGCCCTCAAAGGCCAAAGCTTTAGACCTGCAAGACCTAATTTTCGAATCCCAATTTTATGGCATCGAAACGTTTTTGATGAATTCGCTATCGAACCCATCTCATTTTGATGCTTTTAACCTCGAGAAGTCGTTGATTTTGCCCTTGAATGGCCGAGACTCGCCGTCTGCAATTGCCACGACGCCGTTTGGCTCGGTCCATGTAGCTCACGGCAGCAAAATCACGTCTTTTGATTGGTCGCTCAGGAAAAAGTCGACGATTTTAACCCAATTCACCGCCGTCGATTCGATGCTAGCGATATCGCCGAGGTTGGCCGCGGTGGGGGCAACTGACTTCTCGGGGCTCCAAATTCTTGACCTTGAAAACGGGTTTGTGAAGGAGACTCTCAATTGGGAGAATGTGACTAAGACTGGCTCAACAGTGCAAGGAATTGGGTCCTCACCTGAGTTTCTCTTCGCTAGTTTTGAATCAGCTCGGAGGAACTCAAATTCCATTATGGTTTATGATTTAAATAGCTTGAGCCCTGTTAATGAGATTGGTCATTATGAAATTTATGGTGCCGAGATTAATTCAGCAATACCGGCCACGAAATTGAATTGGGTTTCGGGTTATGGTCTGTTAATGGCGTCTGGGTCTCACAGTGGACCTTCAGGAGTATTGGGTAACATTAAATTTTGGGATACAAGGTCTGGGAATGTAGTTTGGGAAATCAAAGAGAATGTTGATTGCTTTTCGGATGTCACAGTTTCTGATAACTTATCAGCAATATTCAAAGTTGGTGTGAATACAGGCGGGATGTTCTTTGCGGATTTGAGAAATATTGGTGCAGAAAATCCATGGGTTCCTCTTGATGAAAGGAAGAAAGTGGTTAATGGGAAGAAGGAAGGTTCTGGGTGCAAGATTGAAAGCCATGGAAGCCAAGTGTTTTGTAGTAAGGGAGGCAACATTGAGCTATGGTCAGAGGTAGTGGTGGGCTCTAAGAAGAGCAGTAAAAATGGGATGGAGGATGACAGGCTCTTCAGGAAGAATTTAATGGGGAGAATGAAGGATATGGGAGGTTCCAGGATAACCAACATGGCTTTTGGAGGGAACAAGATGTTCATGACCCGGAAGGATCAGCAAACTGTTGAGGTCTGGCAGAATTCAGCTAGAGGATTTTAATCCCAAAAGAATTTGGTTGGAATTGGTAGATGGGGGATTAAATTGACTGATATCATCCAGAATCAGTCACATTTTCTTGTAACATTGTTTCGTAGATTGATTTGTTTGTAAATGAAGAGTAGCTTGTCAAGTCTCATTCTTTTGTGTGCTAATTAGCATGTCTATCAATTGTTTATAAATGATTTATTCAGAGAATTTAATGAGTTAAAGTTATATTGTTGATGTTTCCAACTATTGTTTAGTATTTACCCCTTTTGTTCTTCTACTGAACTTTCATTGACAAGTTTCAATTTCTCTGTATTATTTATTGAAGATGGGCTTGTTCTATGTAATCTGGCTGTTCAGAGGTGTTTAACTTTAAACATTTCAACAATTCTTTGTGCCCTCTTTTAGATGTTTCCTTGTTATTTAGTAGTTATTAATGTCTAGTTGTTGAAGCTTTGATGAAAGGGAGCTGGTTGAAAAGGGAAAAAGGGAGATGCTGGAGGCACCACAGTTGCGGATGCATGTTCTGCATTTTCCTCTTTGGCTTTTTTTTGGGATGTGCCATTGCCAGTCTAAGAGGCACCAGGACCTAAGCACTAGCTCAGATGATAAATACTACTGATATTGTGCATCTTATTTTGCTAATTTAACAACATGCTCCCTCCAGTTAACCTGTGATGCATGTGGTTGTGGTGTCTTTTATTTATTAATTAATTTGTATGTAAGCCCTGTCATATTCTTTGTAGCATTTTTCTCTGTTCTTCAGTATACTTCTTTGGGCATTGCAGGCACAAAGAACTGCAGATTCGTATTTTGGAAGCTTGAATAGTTTCTTAAAATAAAAATGACCAAATTGTCAGCTTGCCTCGCTCTGCCTATCTCATGTTAAGGCCTTACAAAGTTCAATGCTTTATAAGATTGTATAGACTATTTCTGAGATTGCTCTTACATGTGATATGGACTGACGTGGCGTAAAATAGTGGTAGCTCAGGGGCCAATCTCATTGTTGGCTTGGAAATAGAGAGGTTTTTAGCTTGTTGATCAGGTGTGTCACTAGTTGTGAGAATGTAAATATGATAGAAAGCCTTCTAGTTGACATCTTTATCAAAATTCAGGCCAACTAGAGAATCGAAAGTACTTGGCCCCTGATAATTGCTGCTTGAGTAAAAGTGTTAACAGTTTCAGCATGTTCTGGTTCTGCGGCACAAATCAAGGGTTATGATGCTTGAGGTATGCTATCATTCTTACTTTATACTTGCCTCATAAAAACTTTCCTATGCAGATTTCTTCTTTCTCCAAAATTTTGATATCTTTAAGTTAGTCAACCCACAGAAATAGAAGAAATCCTCTTCTTCAATTCAATGGAAGTCAGAATGGTATATTGGGCAGAACTTTGAAGGCCTATAAATTCTAAGGGATTTCGGGTTCTCAAACAACTGTTCAAGACTGAAAATCCCATCCTTAAACAAGGAACGAATATACTGCGTTTGTTCATAGCCTGAATTGTGGTTGTGGACCCGAAAGGTTCTAGAGATGACTGGGTTAGTAGGAAAAGACAAATTGTTATGGCTGCATTGAAGGTTTTATTCAACATTACAAAGGATCTCTTTGTTCCATTCACATATGTAGTTATGCAAAAAGTCCTGCTTCTAGTTGTTTTCAGAGGGTCTGCATATGTTCTCCACACTTAATGTTTATTATCTTGCATTTTATTATATTATCTTGATTGAATCTAGTGGGTGAGGCACATGTTTTTGCCAGCTCATACTCTTAGGAAGCAATTTTCTCTTTAGGATTCGATTAGTGCCAATGACCTTGTTTTATAATTTAAATTATCGGCGTGTCATCTGTGTACAAAAAATATGTACAAAAAATAGCAGCAAATGCTTCATGGACTTCCATTACAATATGATTAGAAGCATCCTAGACTGGTTGTGATATGTGGGATGCTGATCTGTTTATCCAAAGATGACTCAAGCAAATGAGACACTAGACGTTTGGCTACCCAGAACATGTACAGGGAGGCCATCAGTGAATTCCGGGTACTTCTTTAACCTAGCAGATCAGAACAAAATATGTGCAGGAAACAGAAACATTTGGCAATATGGAAGGGCTATGCTTTTAATTATAGATGTTTAACAGCTTTGAGCTTCGCTGTAAGTTTCTGTAGAAATGCATGTTCTTCCAAATGGGGAGCTTGAGCCTGCAAGTAACTCAGGTGCTTGGTAAGAGATGGCAGGTGCTGATTAGGTTTTCACAAACTTTGCAGGAAAAGCTTGAAGGGATGGAGAAAAAAGGGTTTATTGAAACGACGTTTCGAACAGAAGGTGGAGCGTCCACTAGAATCTGCTGAAGAAAAGGAAACCTTGTTGAAAAGATGGAAGACATCATGAGAAACATGTGTTTTTTTCCTTCTTGCTAGAGTAAGGCTGATTGCCTTGCTTACAGGGCTTGACTGCCATGGACTGCATCTCCAACATCACATGTTCTTGTGGTCCTTGGTTTCGAGGCTGAGCCGTGCCTATATAAGAGCATATAATCTACAATTAATTAATGAAAAACTTATGGATGTTTTTAATTCGATGTGTATTTTTTCTTGGTATGAAAATTATTAAGGGACTCTAAATTCCAGTTTAGGTACCTCATGTTCCTCAGTGTATATATATACTTGAGTTGCAGTGGATTCAACATTTATATGGATTTTTACAGGGGTTTTTAAGCGATAGAATTTTGCAGAGTTTTTTGAAACTCTCTCGAATTCCACGAAGTTTTTAAAAAATCAAGCATATATGTTCAAAAAGGCCAACTAGTATAAACATTTGGTGTTATTTCAATGTAGAAACATGAGTGTAAGAAAGTGAAAAAAATGACTTAAAATGCGCCGTTGGTGCTATGTTTAAAGTAAAAACGTGACTATGTATCAACTAAAATCAAATATTGGTTCATGTAAGGGGTTTGTAACTCAAGTGACTAAAAACTACATATGGGGTCTCGTGTTCAAATCCTTTCTTGTAGCTCAAGTGGTTAAAAATTGTACCCAACGTCCTGTGTTGAAATTCCCCCTCCCTCAATATCGCATGAGTTTCATAGATTCTACGAAAATCCTAATTGAATAACACAATTTTTATGAATATGCCTAAACTTGTAAACTTTATCAAGTCTTTTAAATTTCACCAAAATTAAGATTTCATCAGGTTTCTTGTTGATGTCCAAAACTAGATTCAACTTAAATAGATGTGAAGTGATGAATGATGTGTAAAAGGATGTCCTTCAATAGGTGTATGTGCCATAACAAACTAGGATACCTCTCACTTTATGGATCCTAAGAAACTCCAATAATATATAATCGATGAAAAATTGTATGCTAGATGCTCAGTTGAGGAGATAATACAAATGCTAGAAACTCTAGTATTGACATAGAGTAAAAAGCTCTATTATTGGAGTTGCAAACCCTCACCCTGGTCCCATCCGAGTTGATAATGTTTAGAAGGCTCCACTAGTTAATTAGCTGCTAGCTCCCCCGAGTCCCCTACCTAGAATTGCATTTTGAAAGTCAAATACTTTGGGAGGTTTTAAATGCACCGAAAATAGTCGATACAAAAATTTCCGAAATTTTCATTTTTACCATTTTCCATTTATGTTTCTTTGTTTTCTTTAACACACTAAAACAAAAAACCAAAGTTAGCAGCGTTATAATTTAATTAGTTGAGCTTTTCTACTTTCATTTGTATAGTTTGAAATTCCCATTCTCAAGTGACACTTGTTGGCCTGACTTGTGAATCATTGACTTTTTTTTCTTACATACCAAGGATTCCCATTATAACTATATTTGATTTACTTTAATTCTTGATTTTCTACTGTAAATAGAAATATGAATTTATTATTTATTTGCCCATTAAAGTTCCGTTGTATTATAAATATGACCTCCTACAAGGAGAAGAATACACATAAAATTTCCACAAACAAATATTCTTATATTAGGTTTCATATTTTAGCATGGTATCAGAGCAACGATGTTGGAATTGTTGACTCTAGTTTCAAACCCCCGCCGCCGCTAAGGGGGTTGATGATTATTTCAACCCTCATGGAGGTAGCACCATCGACTCATTCTCTCCTTCTCAACCAACCATAGCCGAGAGTGCTTATGTGGCTCAGCTCCTACAGATGCAGACTTTGACCTCAAAACCGATCTTGAATCAGGATCCTATTTTGATGACCCCAAACCTGATCCTGAATCAGGATCTTATTTTGACGACCTCGATCTCGACCTCGACTACGACGACGACGACGACGGCAATGACGACCTCGACCCCAACCCCGACTCTGATGATGAGCCTGACCCCGACTCCAATGATGACCCCAACCCTTACTCCGATGATGATCCTGACTCCGAATTTGTCTCTAATTCAGACCCAGATCCCGACTTCGACTCCGACTCCGACTCCGGCCCTGACTCAGGCTCATATCCCGATCTGGATTCTTATTAAACCTGTATCCTATGCATCTTTCGTTGCACAGATTATGACTTCCCGACTAACGACCCCGACACATGGACGAGATTGTGCATATTGTGGTGATCTAAGACACACTCGTGAAACTTGTTTTAAATTGCATGGCTACCCCAAATGGTGGGCTACTCTCAAAGATCGAACACAACGCGATACGACCAGTAACGGTATTGGTTATGGATTTCATACTTCGGATAAGATTGATTCCAAGAGCTGGATAATTGATTTCAGTGCAACTGATCATATGATGTTTGATCCTGAAGATTTTCTGAATACTACATAACCCCGACGAACTTATATTGCTAACGCTAATGGAGTTACTTATCTTGTGACAGGAGGTGGCACTGTTGCACTCTCATCCTCTCTCTCACTCTTTAATACTTTACTTGTTCCATCTTTATCCAATAAATTGATGTCCGTTAGTCAGCTTACTGAACAATTGAATTGTTGTGTACTCATTTATCCGAGTTTTTGTTTGCTTCAGGATATTCACACTAAGGAGATTCTTGATTGTGTTACTAAGAAAGGGGGGCTATATTATGTAGATGACTTCAGTCCAGGCATGCCTAATAGTGTGACGCATCCCTTTGATAGCAAACAAAAGTAAATCTGGTTGTGGCATCCTTACTGAACAATTGAATTGTTGTGTACTCATTTATCCGAGTTTTTGTTTGCTTCAGGATATTCACACTAAGGAGATTCTTGATTGTGTTACTAAGAGAGGGGGGCTATATTATGTAGATGACTTCAGTCCAGGCATGCCTAATAGTGTGACGCATCCCTTTGATAGTAAACAAAAGTAAATCTGGTTGTGGCACTTTGTCACATTCGTAGATGATTGTACACGAATGACATGACTTTATTTGCTGAAGAATAAAAACGAAGTGTTTTTTCATTTTAAGTTCTTCCACAAACAAATGAAAACTTAGTTCAATGCTCAAATACATATTCTTCGCTCAGACAATGGTGTAGAATTTGTCAATCATGACTTTCAGGCTTACTTCAAACAACATGAAATTATCCATAAGACGACTTGTCCTCAGATACCACAACAAAATAATGTTGTTGAATGAAAGAATCGACATCTTCTTGAAACCTCTCGAGTACTTCTGATTGCGCTCATGTTCCTCGCCATCACTGGGATGATGCTATTGTCACCATAGTTCACCTGATCAACCACATGCCTTCCAGTGTATTGTCCTTTAAAACTCCCCTTACAAGTGCTTGAGCAACACGGGCCCCTGCCCTCTGTTTTGGTACTCACACACCGAATCTTTGGATGTGTGACTTTCATTCATCTCCACAAAAATCAATGTAGCAAACTTGATCCCTATGCGCTTCGTTGTGTTTTTGTGGGTTATGTCACTCATCAGAAAGGCTATCGTTGTTATCACCCTCTTACCCGACGTACCTATGTCACTTTGGATGTGACCTTTCTGAAATCTGAGATGTTCTTCCATGACTCATCATCCAATTCTACGCTTCGGGGAGAGATATGAAGTGAAGAGCAGAATTGGAGCAACTTGGAAAACAAAGAAATTCTCCTCTGTACAGAAATGATTGATCGTCTCGAGTCTGGAGCACAAGATTACTCTCTGCCAAAAAGCGATCAATCGTCTGACCCACCTGATCCCTGCGAATATGTTTCTAATCCGAGTCCCACACCTACAGACAATGCAGAACAACAACTCTAACTCAACAATACCAACATACCAATCCCCTAAGAATATCCTTGAGGTAACTACTCCTACTACACTTGTGAATTTAAAGGATAAATCTATTGGATACCAATTACCTTTCAGGCAGAATCGTGCAAAGCCACCAAATTGTTCTTCACCTAATATTGGAAAGACATCAAAGTATCCAATTGTAAATCATGTATCAACTGAGAAGCTGTCTGAACCACTCAAGGGCTTTGTGCATCAGTTGTATGTTATTCATATTCCAACCAAGGTTGCTGAAGCATTTAAAGATCCTAAGTGGGTTTAAGCTATAAAGGAAGAGATGAAAGCTCTTGAGAAGAATCAGACTAGGACACTGGAAACTTTACCACGAGGAAAAAAGACTGTTGGATGTAGATGAGTGTTTATCATAAAACACAATGCTGATGGGTCTATCGAGCGATACAAGGCAAGACTTGTGGTGAAAGGGTACACACAGACTTATGGTGTAGATTATGAAGAAACCTTTACACCAGTTGCGAAATTGAACACAGTTAGAGTCTTATTATTCCTCGCGGCTAATTTGGACAGCCACTACACCAGTTTGATGTAAAGAATGCCTTCTTACATGGAGAACTCACATAGGAGGTGTATGTGGACATTCCTCTTGGATATAATACTACTCAGACTGGAACAATATGCAAATTACAAAATGTGTTGTTTGGACTGAAACAATCACCACGTGCATGGTTTTGACGGTTCGCCATGGCAATGAAGAACAATGGTTTCAGACAGAGTAACTCAAATCATAATTTGTTCTTGAAACATCAGAAAGGGAAGGTAACAGCTTTAATAATCTATGTTGACGACATGATTATTATTGGGAATGATAAACATGAAATATCCCAACTACAAGACTATTTGGCTACTGAATTTAAGATGAAGAATCTAGGTGGACTTAAATATTTCTTGGGGATTGAGGTGGCCCGATCACAACAAGGCATATTTCTCTCTCAAAAGAAATATGTCTTGGACTTATTGACAGACACAAGAATGCTAGATTGCAAACCTGTAGACACTCCTATTGTTCAGAATCATCATCTTGGAGAATACTCGGATCAAGTTTCAACTAACAAAGAAAGATACCAAATGTTAGTGGGAAGATTAATCTACTTGTCTCATACTCGGCTAGACATTGCTTATGCAGTGAGCGTCGTCGGTCAATTTATGCATTCTCCGAATGAAGACCACATGAATGCAGTTTTTTGGATACTTAGATATTTGAAGTCTACACCTGAAAAAGGACTTATGTTCTCAAAATATGGTCATCTGAATATTGATGGTTACACATATTCAGATTGAACAGGAAGTATAACATATAGGAAATCCACATCCGGTTACTTCACATTCGTGGGAGGTAATTTGGTTACATGGAGAATCAAGAAACAGAAGGTGGTCGCCTTATCCAGTGCAGAAGCCGAGTTCAGAGGCATGACCAAAGGAATTTGCGAACTCATTTGGTTAAAGAGGTTGCTTACTGAACTTGGGTATAGACCTACATCTATAATGAATCTCTTTTGTGACAACAAGGCTGCAATAGCTATTGCACATAATCCAGTTCAACATGACCGCACCAAATATGTTGAGGTAGATCGACACTATATCAAACAAAAGCTCGAAGCTAGAGTGATTATGTTTCCTTTCGTAAGGTCCGAGGATCAATTGGCAGATATTTTGACAAAGACAATTTCCAGTAAAGAGATCCACAATTCACTAGACCAGTTAGGCATTGCCGACATCTATGCACCAACATGAGGGGGAGTGTTGGCGTGACTTGTGGACCATTGACTTTCTTTCCTTACACACCTAAGATTCGCATTATAATTACATTTGATTTACTTTAATTCATGATTTTCTATTGTAAATAGAAATATGAATTTATTATTTACTTGCTCATTAAAGTTCCGTTGTAGTATAAGTATGACCTCCTACAAGGAGAAGAATACACAGAAAATTCCCACAAACAAATATTCTCATATTAGGTTTCATATTTTGGCAATACTTGTGTAAACTCCTCTCCCCCAATCGCTTGTACTAAAACAAAAAAAAGTAAAAATATTCTACCCATGTGGATAGAGATTTGAAACCCCCAATTGCTTGTACTAAAACAAAAACAAAAAACCAAAATACCAATCCAAAAGTCATGACCCTTTATTTTTATTTTTATATAAAGTGGTGATTTTTCCATTCAAATTTTATCCACTTACACTTCATTTTATAATTAAAAAAAAATTGGGAAAACCATTACCCTTTATACATGATATCGCTCAAGTATGTCACGATTTGTACGATCTCCAGCTCAGATAGCGACCAAAGTAGAAATAATCATGCCTGTCTTGGAAAATGAAAAAGATGAACTTTTTGAGGTCCCTTGGGAGGGAGACTAGCGACCTAGAGTCCCTACGACACAATTATTTGGGGACGCACTAAATACTAAAGAGAAAAGATTTGATGAGGCACAAGGTCTCCCGAAAGCAACCAAATCCTTGACAGATTTACAAAACACGACACACGTTCAAATATGATTAATTGATTCATGACCAGTTTGAAATTATGAAAGTTGCAATGCATGTGTTTTTGAACTTGTGTGTGTGATCAATTTTAGTCACTTGTATGCATGTCTGCATCTGCTTGTTAGTCATTTTGCTCTTGGTAGCCACATTTATATTCTCAAACTATCAATTTGGATTGTCTGAACGTACACAAGATTGTTTGACAAGAAAATATTTCTTATGGATAAACCGATGCATGATTTGGTTTGGATTGTTATCAAAGATTAAACACTAGACATGATAATTTTGTACCTTACGATGTGTAGAATAGCACGAGATTGAATTATCGTATAACCTCATTTTGATCACCATGCGTATCAAGAGCCTAGTAAAGTATTAAATCCAGAATTTGAGCCATTGTTAGTTTTTTAAAAAATTTTAAAATTTAATACATGATATGATTTTAAGAGGGCGGTGAGCATATACCTAAATTAAGGAAAGCGAGGAAAAGTAAATTGTATAAGTATGATCCATATGACATTACTCTTTAAACAACTTTTTCTTTTTTTGGAGACCTAATAATTAATAGGCCAATTTTCAACTTAATATTGAATTTGGGTCATTTATGCATTCAATATTCGGTGCAGACAATTTAAATTAATGACAAAGTGCCTTCTTTCATTAGGTCACTTAAATCGTCACGTTCCTATCACCACCAAATTTGTCATTTTCACTCCGTGATTTCTTATATAGAACTTTTTACTTA